CTCCCAAGCAGCAGGACAACGGGGAAAACACCATATTCCGTGATCGGTGTGGACTTTGCGGGTCCTATTCTTTACCGTGCAAGCAAGAAAATTGAAAGGAAAGCGTGTATTCCGACAACGGAGCTACCTTTAAAGCGGCAGTGACATGGCTAAGGAAAGTTTGGAAAGAAGAGAAATTCCACTAAGCTATTTGCAGGCTTGAGATTGTTTGGCGATTCAACCTCGCGAAAGCACCATGGTGGGGTGGTCAATACGAGCGCCTCATTGGTATTTTCAAATCTATGTTTCGTAAGACAGTCGGGGGTGGACTCTTGTCCTTTTCGGAACTAGAATAAATCGTGCTCGACGTAGAAATGTGCATGAACAACCGTCCCCTAACATACTTGGAGGATGATCCTCAGCTGCCTGTCTTGACACCAAACTCGTTTGAGTCGTTTCTGTTCCAACAACCAACAGCAGTACCAGAGCTACAACCTCATCAATTAAAAGAGCGTGACCTGAAAAAACGTCTTAGGTTCCTTTGTACAACGAAAGATGGACTATGGAACCGCTGGACACGAGAGTATCTCACAGGACTAAGGGAGAGACATAAAATTGTTCGTGGATCTAAAGCAGAATGCCCAAATGTAGGAGATGTTGTCATTGTTAAGGGAGAAAACAAGAATAGAAATACCTGGAAACTGGGAAAGATCGTCCGACTTATTACCGGCAGAGACGGAGTGGTGCGAGGCGTAGAGTTACGGGGAGTGGAAGACTGGAGCGACCGTTGCAACTAATTTACCCTCTGGAACTTCATTGCGACCAAGAGGCTGTCGAACGGGAAGCTCCACCACTTAATGCACAAGCGAAAGAATTCAGACCTAAAAGGAAAGCGGCAGAGAATGCAGCAGCGAAGATCGATAAAGTACTTGCGGAGGAAGAGGAGACGGTGATAGATTGAACGATAGATTGAACGATAGATTGAACGAGAGATTGGGACATTAGTTCTTTTTGTTGCATACATCTCATTAGAAAAGATGTATGGGGGAGTGTGTCGGAACTAATGTAAACATTAACAGCAAACACTATACTAATCAACTAACATAAATAATATAGTTCATGTTTATTATACTAACCTAATTACCAATTCACCGGAAGTGACGGCGCTAATTCATTGTTTGGGTTCGCCAATAGACAGAGACTATTTACATGTGCTTTATGGGGGAATATATTTGTTATTGGGATCGGGAAATTTGTAGTATTTTGTGAGAATATTTGAGAGAGAAATTGTGATTTTAAACTGTGATTTGCTGTGTTTCTTATTATTATTGTCTGGGCGACGGGCAGTAGTTCCCTATAGTGAGCACATGTGTGTAGGTTTTATGTTTTAGGTACGTTGAAATAAATAACGATTTTGAAGATATAACACTTTCCTCTTCCTGTTATCGCCCACCGAATTGTGGTTCTGACTGGGTAAATATGTTTAATGCTTTCCTCGACCAAGTGTGTGATCAATTTGATAAGGTAATGATTTCTGGTGACTTCAATATGCCACATATTTCCTGGAATAACACTGGTGAAACTCTTAGCATAAGTGATTCATTCATCGAAGCCTTATAATATCATTTCCTAACTCAGATCAACAGCATCCCAACTCAACACCTTTGACCTTATTATTACCAATGTACCTGAACATGTTAACATAACTGATGTGGAATCGCCAGACAACGCCGTCGTTTTTACAGACCATTGTGTATTCCATTACGAGTTTAATGCATTTGTTGACATTCCAAAAACAAAGAGTCAAAGATTCGTTTACAAGACCTTACAACTACAAAAATGGCAACTTTGAAGGTTTACATTCTTCGTTATCTACCATGGACTTATCTTTGTGTATAGAACATGACAATATTAACAACGACTGGAAATCTTGGAGAAGTATACTAAACTAGAAGGACGATAACAACAGCCCTGAATAAACGGAACGATTTTACACCTGAATAAGAAAAAGAACACTGTGCGGAAAAAAAACTAAAATCGTCCCCGACGAGTCATTTACGTGAAAAATTGGGGAACAACTGGACATTAAAAAATTGGACATTGGGGAACAACTTCCAAGATAATCCAAAGCGATTTTGGTCCGCAATGAAACAGTTCAAAATGCCCAATATCCCGGCCCAGAAACAATCTCGACAGCTGGAACAAAGAACGATCAAGAATCTCAAAAAGAAAATCAAAGCTGACAACTCTGACGATATTACGTCCATGTTTAACAGCTGCTTTGGATTAGCATATTTGACTCTGATGACTCCAGTCATGAACTCGAGACTCCAGAAACCAGTCATGAACTCGAGACTCCAGTCTGAGATCATTTTGACAGTTGAGGGAGTTTAGGCAGTATTTGAAACACCGATTCACTGGATGTTACAAAAGCCACAGGACCTGATGTCCCAGTCCGTCTTTTCAAAGAAACAGCTCCTTTTATTTCAATATCTTTGTGCACGTCAAGGTGCTCTCCCCGAAGATTGGAAAATCGCCAACATGTTTCCTGTGTTTCCTTTTTGACCCAATACAAGGACAGCATTGGCGACAAAATTGTATATTTTTCCAAAAAGTCTGTGTGCTAGAAGATCAATCATGCTGATGTAGCCACATTATCAGAATTAACCAGCGACCGCGAGGAAGCGGACAAGAAACTCGTTGCATTTGTGCGCACAAGCGAATTGCCACCTAGCTCAACTGCAACGGTACGGTCGCCATCTGAGCAGCATATTAGCAGCGGGAAGAACAGGAAAATCATCGATGTGACGTCAACTGCATTGTCCCTTGGTCACAGAAAAGCTCTTTTGGGAATGCATGGCTTTTCCGGAAACGATTTTGTATCTAGCTTTTTTCGAAAGGGAAAGCAGGCCGTGTGGAAAGCCGTGACCAAGAAAACTGCCTTTATTATCGATATATTTTCATCTTTGGGTACGGAGGTGACAGCAAGCGAGGAGTTGGTTCGGGGTTTAGAATGGTTTGTCTGTTCTATATACGGGCATCCACGTATCCTCTCAGTCAATGAGGCAAGGAAGAAAGTATTTTGGAACAAGTTCAACTAGGGGAAGAAGATCATCAACCTAAGTCTGATGCCACCATGCCAGTCAAATCTTCATTACCACATCATGAGAGCTAACTATGTCGCGTACATCTTTTGACACGCCGATCAGCTGCTAGTAGAACTTGAGAGCCCCGACGAGCATGGATGGGACGGAGATGGAAACGTTGTCTGGAGTGACATTTGCTATCCCGAGGAGATTGATGTGCTACTCGCAGGCACCGAGAGTGAGAACAGTTCGTCCTCCGATGATGACTACGAGGATGATTAAAAAACTTAACACATTAATCACGTTATTTATCACAGAGACCTGGCTTAAAGCTTCTATTCCTGACAGCGTGGTGAACATTCCCGGTTTTTCAATAATACGTAGGGACCGAATTAACAAATCCCATGGTGGGGTTTGTGCATACGTTAATAACCGAGATGTTAAATTTAAACAGATTTTAGAGTTATCTTGCTGCCAGGAGCACGAAATCCTATGGCTGCACCTTAGACCTACTCGTATTCCACGCAAGTTCTCATGTATTATCGTAGCTATAGTATACCACCCCCCTGGAGCAGATGATTATTCTATGCGAGACCATTTATTCCAGTCAATAAAAAAGGCAGAGTCAAAATTTCTAAACTGCGCACTTATTGTTGTAGGTGACTTTAATCGTCTTAATGTTAACAGAATCAAACATCATTTTCAACTGAAACAGATAGTTCAGACTCCTACCCGCAGAAATGCGATTCTCGACATCATCTTAACTAATCTGCACGAGTATTATGAAAAACCTCTAATAATGCCCCCTTTTGGACTATCCGACCACAATACTATCATTTCGTCTCCAAAGGAAAGAGCTAAAGATCTAATCTCTAATGGCACCACTTTTAAGCGTAATATTAATCCAAGTTCCAAACGAGCCCTGGGAAGATATCTAAACTCGATTGATTGGCCTCAAATTATTCCATCTACTAATGATTGTGATCAGTTATCGAACATGTTTCAAAACATAGTCCTTACTGGGGTTAATATATTAATGCCGATGACACGATCAAAGAAATGTCCTGTCGATGCCCCCTGGATAACGAACCATTTCAAATCGCTGATCATTGAAAGGCAGAAAGCTTTTCCTACCTATGGCCCTGACTCGAGCAGTTTTAAATCTCTTCGAAACCAAGTAAATCGAGAAAGGAAAATCTGTAAATCAAACTATTATAAACTCCGTGTACATCAAATGAAACAAACAGACTCCAAGGTATGGTCACAGATTAAGTATATACCAGATGCGTAACTTAATAGGACTTCGTGTCCTCAAATTTCCCTAGATGTACACGTCATGCTCACGCCATGACACTTGCTAGGAAGATGGCGTCCTGGAAAACAAGAACTTTCGCATTTTATTGCGGCTTTCTTGGATCGAAATTTGTGGATTAAACAATCAAGAACATCATTTGTTGAATGTTTAAAGTTGTTAAA